TGTCCAATGAACAGCCACAAGGGCTCCACACAGCCCGAAGGCTCTTCTAAGGGTTTTGGAACAGCCACAGATTCTCTTTTTAGGTGCCGGAGGCTGTCCAACGAACAGCCACAAGCTCCAAAGCTCTAGAAGCCTGAAGACTCATTGAGGGTATTCACGACTTCGCTGTGCCTTTGTCGTACGCTCTCAAACTTCCACTCCGAAAGACCCCTAATACCGTCGAAAGCAAGCAACACCGGCAACACCCTAAAGTTTGGTCCCAATTTTGCCAATGGTCCCGAAAGGGAGACCCGAAGCCCTAAGCCATTCAGGTGGCTGACATTCAAGGTGCAGTCTGACGGTTCTTGGAAGCTTTCTATGATTTTTCCAAGCGAATTAGAGGATCGATCTTGTCAGGCACCCGCAGGCTACGCAACGCACATCCTCAAGGGCTCCACAACCTCATTTAGAACACTGCCCAGCACACACAGCCACAAGGGCCCAGCAGCCCGAGTCTGTTTCAAGGGTTGAGGGGATGCTTGAAAAGCTTGGCTTGTCTCACAGGAGTGGTCAACAACTCCCACGCTTCCGCTATAAGAAATTACAGACTTGGTGGTCACGATACCCCGCATCTAAACCCTTCTCTCGGGCTCGTCTGCTGTCGACTTAGAAGCTCCTTCTCTGGCTTTTGAAATCCCAATCCTTTGCGGGCCCGTCTTCGGGCTTGGGGATCAGGGATGTATGGCCTGAGGCTTAGGGTTTTAGTGCTTCGGGGTTTAGGGTACAACTACTGATGCAATGCTCCCTGTGGTTCACCACCCGAGCAATGGTTTCGGGCAAAGCCACACCCGCCAAAGGATTTGTGAAAGTAGAACACTGGCATGTAGGAACACGAAAATCGTTGCCGGCTCGGAACCGACATGCACATAAGTTCACAGCATTAAGGGTATTCATGGGTCAAGGGATGTCACGTGGCGTCTGATCCAGTGAAACGAGGCAGGAGGTCCCACTACCCCTTTACAAGGAAGTATTGCAGGGTGTAGTAAAGTGTAGTAACTGCGATGAATACACACATTCCAACTCGTTGCGATGGGTCCATGGATTTGCTGCAGCAAGGGCGGCGCGAGCAAACCAGCACCGACACCAGCATCACCACCAGCACCAGCAAAGGCTGCGCTCAGAATCCAATGAAGGTTAACTTGGGGGCGAGAGTGCGCAATGAACCTCAGCCTATGCGTACTTTTAGCTGCGCCAGGCGCAGCGCACGAAGGTTCCGGCTGCAGGAGATTGGTGCGGTCTTCGCACGGGGAGAGCTGCCGGCCGGCTTGTGCAGAAGGTTCACATGCCAAGAAACACCCGACACTTCCTGAGGCTCGAAACCCCTGTACGGTCAACTCTAGCTACAGCGTTTACTTTTTCTGCGCGGGGGGCCCAAAAAGGGGCTAAGAGGCCCATCCTCCAACTGCTCAGTAGGACCGGCCAGCACTCCGACCCCGGGCGCCGTAGGAGCCGTAGGGACTGTAGTCGCTGAAGTCATCCTCTGTTTCGTTTCGTTGTGAGGGGAGCCGAATGAGTCTTTGGAGCCTTGGGTTCGGGAACATTTCGATTTTTTGCGCCTTGCACATCTTCACGGCCTTAACTGGGGTCGCCGTGGCCAATCAAGCCGCATGATAAGCCGTGCCCGTCTCGCACACCGGTATCTTGTCAAAGCAGCAATGGAACAAACCCCCCTCATGGGATCCATACACAGAATGCCAAAGTCCGACAACATGGCGCCAACTGAGCTCCTGTAACTTCTACAACTACCGAAAATCTAAACGGACTGTTAACAGTTCCGGGCATGCTACTCTAAAACCCCTTCCATTTGGAAGGTACCAGCCCTCCAGGAGAGCCATGTTCAAGGGAACCTTCTGCAGAGTTGATGATCCCTGGACCCATTTTTCGCGGCAAGGCTCGTCATCCAAGTCGTACTCCCTTCGCGACCGGCCTTAGGCGTCGCGGCTTGGAAGGGCTGAGGAATTGAGATCGGTTGACACATGTCATTGCAAGCCGGCATTGGCAACGAGCTTCTTCGTGGTTCGGATCATGGTCAGTCCCAGACCCTACGCTCCAGGGCCACGTCTGGCCAGATCTGTCCTTTTGCAACTCCTTGACTCCTTGCTTTTCTGACCCTTGCTGTTGTAGCTGCAGTGCTGCCTATTTGGAGCAACCACCCACCCTCAGCCCAAAGCTCCTAAGAGCGCCATCTTTCAAGTCCCAAACGGAAGACGCCCCCTCCGACTCAGTTTGGACGCTACGGGAGCCTTCGGAAAGTGCGTCGCGCGGGACCGCTTTGGGGAGCCGGGGGCCTGAAGCCCTGGATCTCAGGGGCTCGGGCGGGGGCTGGGCGGAGAGCCCACACTGGAAACAGTCTCAGCTATGAGATTCGAGCCTTCTACACTCAATGCTACGAGTGGGAACAGCAGTGAGCACAATGGAGACCTGCTGCAAGACCTGTTGGCAGCGCTGCAAGACCAAGGTATTCAACGACTCAAACTGTCAAATCCCGAAGCAATGTCACACGATTTCGCACGCAGTTAGAAAAATTCAGAGCAGTCGATTGATTTTGTGTTGGTATGTAATGGTCACTACCCCTCGGGTAGTATGCGCTTGTTGGTTTCACTTTTTTGTCTTTAGCCCATTCTGCACACAAAGGGCTGAGAGAGCCACTGCTGCTGCGGTCACCATAACCGCCACTGCGGTCACCATAGCCACTGCTGCGGTCGTCGTAGCCACCGTAGCCTCCTTTCAGCTCGGAAGCGTCTGGGTCCCGGCTTAGCTAACGCCTTTATAAACATGCCCGCGCAAACACCGCAAGCAGGGCCAATGCAAGACTCGTTTTGTGCGGTGTGCATGGTCTCGTCATGCTGCCCCTAGCCACTCTAGCTACTCCAGCTCCCTTCTTGAATAAACTGTACGAGGACCATCCCAAAACTCCACATGCGAGGCCATGCAGCTCCCGCCCAGTCTTTTCTCTCTTCCCGTCTTTATCCATCTTCTTTAACACAGCCAGAAGAGTAGGCGGACTATTTATGTAGCTCTTTTTCCCTCCATTCTTGCTGTGAGCCCGAGACCATGTGGCACCACAGAAAGACCCCCCCAGCTTCCTCGTCCACCGGAGCGGTAGCCCGGGCTGGCGCTGCGGCTTCGGAAGCCTACGAAGCGGACGGCAGTGACGGGCTTGGCATCTCTAGCAAGTGAAGGGGAGGAGAGTTGGCCTTCTCCGCTTCCCGGCACCTGTCGTCGAACACTACAGATGGTACAGATTGTTACAGATAGCGCGAGCTTCTTTCAGCTCCACCTCCGATTGCAACGTTTTAGCGGCTCCTACTTTCTCACATCCCAAAGAAGAAATATGCACACGCAATACGACTCCAAGATCTTCGAAGGACGCCCCATGCTCCACAGCTCCGACTGGCTGCCATCGTCTGTTTAGGGATTGCACGTAATGATTCTGATTGTACGATGGAAAAGCTAAGCTGACTTTGAGAGCCTGAAGGCATTGCAGAGTTGGACTTGGAATTAGTGCTCCACATCTGGACCTCAACTGCTATTGCTGTAGCTTATGCAAACACCAAGCAAAAGTCTTCAACCGTGCATTGATGAAGGTCTCGAGGCTTGAATTCGCATCCTGCCTCCTTGACCATTGCGGTAGCCACCGTCCCTGTATCCGCCGTAGCCACCGCCGCCGCCACCACCGTTGCGGTAGCCGTTGTTTCGGTAGCCACCATAGCCTTTCAGAGTAGATTTTGCTGACAGTGCCTTCGTCGCCGTAGTCTACATGGTTGCACTACTCATAGGCTTCAGTACAATTGCCTTACCTGAGGTGTAAGACCTTAGCATTGAGAGGTCCGGTCTCGCTGCGTGTGTGTGTGTGTGTGTCTGTCTCTGTGTCTGTGTATTCTTATACAACTCTTATGCACAGGTAGAGCAGGACGGAGGCATGCAAACACAGATGCTTTACACCGAATTCCTCAATCACATCCATTCACTTAATGACCTGCTGACTCATGTTTATTCGCTCATTCTAATTTGCACATACATGCCACCATCATACAGAAGGCTTACGTTCATGCAGTCACTCCTTTCTCCATGTTCTGCATTATAGGGTGATGCCCACGCGAGTAAGATATGAGACCGGATAGGTGAGTGTGTGCGTGTCGGTGTGGGTGGGCGGGCTGGTGGGTGAGTGGGATGGAGGTGAGGACGGTGAGGAAGCATGTGCATGCCGCCTCTCTCACTTGTATAGTGGACCCTCGCTCCGCCAGATCTACAGCAATAACGGGCAAAACATGAGAGCCCAAGGATCCTGCACCCTTCAAGCTCGAAGATGAAAGTATCGACCCTTGAAGACGTGCGCGACTAACTAAGACCTGTGCGGCCCTGAAGCGCAGCACACACACGCACACACACCGTAAGACTGAATGCGAATCAGCTCCGGAACTTTACTCATGGGAGCACTCTTTCATTCCTGACACACTGACAACAACAGCCGCAGCACCCCATGGCCACTCCCTCTTCGGCCTCCCCGCGAGGAGGACCGAGAACCGCCCCGGGATGCAAAGGCCATCTCCTCTCTGTGGTCGGACGACCCCGCCGACATGACACTAGGCATGTTGGGCTGGTTCAGGCATACGGTTAGGGTTTTGGGGCTTCTCTACATTATGAATATGAGAAGGAACCCGAAGGAACAATAACGGTAATTGTTGGGGCCTCTACATTACAAGCATCAGGACCGACTTTTCGTCAAACTCCTGTCGGATGTTGGATGGCCGCCCAATCGCGATGCCACCCTAAACCTCCGTCACATCACAACTGAATGGCTGCACCCTCGACAACCTGACCACTCTAGGCCCCAAGCCTGTGCACCTCTTTAATACACAAAGTATCTGACCCCAAGACCATCTTAAAAATCCCCGTTCACATTCCTCTCACAAGGTTCTCAGTATACCTATGAGCCAAATCCAACTTCGTGTGTGCCAGCATCTCCTCGAGCCACCTGGGAACCTCCGATGCCGTGTCGTCCTCCTCGGGGCAGGTATTGCTATCTGATGTTATGTCACAGTAAATTTGATAGTCAAGTAAAGTATAGGATAGTACATCATAGTATAGTATTTTATGGGCTCCCTACAAAGTCTTGACGTACAATGGCCACATTGCTTTCTTGAGGAGGCCGGGCCGGCCCAAGAATCCTGCAAATGGGGTCTGGAGCCCTGGGTTTGTACAGAGTCCCAAGAGCAGGCACAAAGTTTTGCCCGTTCATGACTACCCACCGTCTGGCCGTGCGACTTGTCGAGCACGACAGCAAAGACACAGGAAGGCGTTTGTGGTGTATTCTTTTGGTTTCTACAACCCTGATGGGACCTGGAATTCTCCATCCGATGCCTGCAACTGGGTGCTGCGAGCCCCAAGCCTTTTGACGCCTTTTTCATTCTTCCAAGCTCCAGTTCGGGGCCTTGCCAGTTTGTCGAGTTGGGGCTTCAGGGTGCCTCCGAAGCAAACCTCACCTGGAATTCCTCGAATCGATTTCGGGTCCTTTTGTGGAGAATCCTTCCGTTAGGTCCCGGAATTTCGGAACCTCCTTTACAATCGAAAAACTGTAAAAAGCTCACCATCCGCGCAACAGCTCGGCCTTCTTGGCGTCTTTCAGAGATCGGACGATGTCCTGCTTGCTGAGATACAGGATCCAGCAGTGGGAAACCCTGAATATCCAAGCTAGAAGTCTCTAAAGATCTCTAAATTAGGAACCTGATTAAGAAACCCTGGCCCCTATAACCCGAGTATGGGCTCATCTTAAGAACCCTAATCATTTTCCCACATTACCGGCTCCCTCAGCCGCGAAGCTTCCAAACCTGCATGACGGCCTGGCTACAGCATCGCAGTCGCTCGGAAGCCTCCAGAAAACCCTGGCTCTTGTATCCCGCACCCCCCGAACCTGTTCTTGAAGAGCCGCAAGCATGTCAGTGGGCCATGTGGCATCCCAGAATCTGATCTGGAATGTGGGGAGAGGGACCATCATGTAAAGAGCTGCACAAGGAGTGTCCGGTACTGGCGTCGCGATAAAGCAAAGGAGAACTTTCCCTGAACCCCGATCACCCTCAGCCTCCCGAACACCATCACCCCAAACCCTTAAAGCGCCCCAAACCCTCAAGCCCGCAACCCCCCCAAATCCGATAAAACGCCGAAAGCGTGAAACCCGAAATCTTGTGGTCTCTAGGCTTCTTGGGACTGCTAGGCTGATGCCTAAAGCTTCACAGCCCCGGCCGTCCTTCAGCGCCGGCTCCTTGGAACCGACGAAGGAGGTGGCAACGCCCTTGTTGCCGATGCGGCCTGGGATTCTGAATGCCAGATTCCCTATATTATTTAGTTGAGGTGCGATGAGGTGCAGAGTTTCGCCAGAGCAAACTCCGCACTGTTCTTCCGCCACGTCGGTTCTGTGCTTCTGTGTGAGTTGAGAGGCTTTGCAGGCTTCGGCGTGTGCCGCAAAAAACCGCAAGCGGGCATTACTGGGCACGCAGGCCGGATGAGTTCTAGAATGACTGTGCTGAAGAACCTTGTCACCTGCAGCCCCAAGCAAAAAGTGTGAGAGGCCCAGACCTGACATCTCAACCCGGCGCGTGAACTCTAAATCTGGTGAGGCTTCAACCTGCCTCGACGCCCGAATAGACAATAAAAAACACCGGTGCTGAGGAAAGAACCCGTTCGCCCGACCCGGTGGACGTAGTCTTCACCATTCCTTGGTCATGGAGCTTGTTGTCATCACACTGGCTTGAGGAGGCCATCGACGGAGACTCATGCAGCGAGGCACCCAGTGACCCTTCGACTCTTGTCTATGGTTACAGAGCACGATGGCAACTCTCAGCTCAAAGTATCCAGGCATTGTAGAGCAAGGCTTCGCATAAAGCCCCCGTCTCTCGGCCCGGGCCTGAACCTCCTCCTAGAAGACAATAGCCCCGGGCCCTGGATTCGCGCGACGTCTCGAATTCTGCCGCCCCCATTGATAAAGCCCGTTCATTCGTAGGAAGGGGCTATCGGCGAGCATTTTCCTTGCGACAGGTTTTGGGGGTCGGAGTCGCCACCATCAAAATCCTAGATTCGATGGCAGGTCGTAGTTGATCACGTGGTCGATGCCAGGCAGGTCCAAACCCCGGGCTGCGACGTCTGTTGCAACCAAGACCTCAGAGGGGAAGCTGAAAGCTTGCAGACTCGTTGGCCTCTTTAGCGGATGATGTTCCCCGCGTCCGCTAATTTGGGTCGTGAGTTCCAGCACCAAAGGTACCAAATTGAAAGATCGATGCAGCATGATCGTGAAGTTTGTCTTCCGGGATATGCGTGCTTCAAGCGCGGTTGGATAATGGTTGTTCCTTTATGTATTGCCAATTGTTCACCAGACGCAGCCGGCGCAGCATCAACTTACCGATACTGAGTTTGAAAACCTCAGTTCGAAACAAACAAATCCCCCAAAACACATGCCTGAAAATGGCTGAGCTGCATGTGCACGGCCCGTCCGCAGTGCATTGAGCGAACGATCGCGCATGGACTGGTTGACACCTGGCCAGGCCGAAAGACATGGTATGTACACTGATTTGTAGACAAGCAACCATCAATCATCAATTCTCGGTGCTGACAACATGCACTAAACCTCTCTGAGAAGGAGGCAAACGACAGGGCAAATATTTCGGATTGCTAAAACCAAAGAAGAACTGTAGCAACTGCGGCCTACGTTTACTGGCACGTATGTGCATGTGTGTTTGCATATAACGTAGTGCACTTAGAGTACATATGGTCATGCATATGGTCATACATTTGTACCTCTGGCTATGTGTGCTCACTAGCAGTACAGCATTCCATGTATGTATGTATGTATGTATGTATGTACGTACGTATGTATGTATGTATGTGTATGTATGTGTGTGTGTATGTGTATGTATGTGTATGTGTGTGTATGTGTGTATTTATGTATGTATGTATGTATGTATGTATGTACGTATTTGTGTGTGTACGTACGTACGCACGCATGCATGCATGTGTGTGTATATGCTTCTGTCTATGTCTATGTAGATTTGCACAATTACACGTACATGTATGCGTACGCATTTATGTGTGTATGTATCTGTATGCATGCATACATATGCACACATATGCACACATATGCATGTGCTTAGAACTGTAGATACAACTATGTGTATTATATTTGTATATACAATCTATATATAAATATACATATATATATATATACACATACATACATATTCTGCACATCCAAATGCATCTAGGACAGACATACATACCTATTTGCGAGTGTGAAACCATGCATATGTATATCTGCATATGTAAGGTATCCATGCACATACATATGGTCATATATGATCATATGTGTTTATTCTCCGAAAACAGATCTGCATCTTCATACCCATGAATGATGTGTAAAGTATAGGCAAACAGATGCGCCGTGTCAGCCAAACACATGACTGATTCTGACAGCACCACCTCAGCAGCACTGTCGTGATAGAGTTATCAATCTCGGATCGCATCTGCGATTATCCGATGATGTTCTCCGACCTTGTGTTTCAACCGAGCAGGCCTAACCTCCGTGCATGCTGGTGCAGCGGATACGCTCGTCCTGAAGGCGGTAGGAGATGTCGTCCACCTGCATCTTTGAGGTGGCATCGAAGCTTCGAAGGTCTAGGTTCGAAGCAGCTTCCCCATGAGGGGTCTGGGGTTGAGGGGTTCGGGTTTGGAAACATGGGGTAGGGTGCCCGTTACCAACATCGTGAGCAACATTGAGGTAGACGCCTGACACAGCCTCTTCCAATACCATCACACCCAATTGATGGACCACGCACCTGAGGAACACTGCAAGTACGGAATCTTAAAGCTGCGAAAGAGCTTTTTGCTTCAACCCTCTTTACCACACAGCTGTCATCTGACGGCCAAGGTTGACGTCGGCAGATAACCTACGTCCTGCACCCTTCAACCCGAAGGCGCGAACCTCCAACAAACCTCGCAAACACCAAGCCTCCAAGCTGTAAGCCCAGTACCTGTGTTGGACTGCAGATTCTATCCCGAAACCAGCACAGGCCTCTCTCTTCGAGTTGGCGAAGACGATGGTCTTGGCAGGGCCACCATCCGCTGATTTCACCTGGCTGGGTCCCTAGAGTGTAGAGCGAAATCAACCCAGCTCCCCAACGCCACGCAAGTGCCCAGGAGCCGAAGTCGCGGAGCAGAGAAATAGAAGAACCCCCGAAGCCCAGGCATAAACAACGAAGAAGGAATTCATTAAAACAAACATCCTGAGCACCAAGAGAGCCTCCTTCAAAGACTCCAGCAGCTGCTCGAACTTGTCACCTTTGGCCGATTCAAAACCCTGGGGCCTACTAGTCCACAGCCTGCACCGGCAAGCCGAATGAAGCTCTAGGTGTAGGGGGTTGGGCCAAGGGAGTCAGTTTTACTGCGGCCGACAGATAGGAAAGTCCCCCCTAAGATCTACATAGCCTATATAGGTACAATAATCTATGGCTGGCGTTTTTCAGCTAACAGCGGGCGCAGGCGGCAAGACAACACTAACCTTGCAAGGAGTGTCACCTTCGGCATGACTTCTCGCTGGACGTGCACACTTTGCATCCAACAAAGGTCTCAGTGACCTGGACCCGCGAGGGCAAACAACATCGAAAACACAAAAGAGCCTAATCTCGGGCAGAGCAGCCCCAGCCAATGTTCTCAAAGCGCTGCTCGACATTGGCAGCAGTGGCTCCAACACGGCCTCGCCATCAAGCAGGTCAAGGAAACTCACAGCGCATTCTTGCTGTAAAGGAAATCCTAGGCCCCAGACCATAAGCTCGAAAGTCCCATACTCAGATGATTGGTGTGCGAGCTTACAGTCCTTAGCCCTAATCCGCAGGATCTGGGATTGGGGTAGATTCACGCGGAGAGCATTCAGGAATGCGGGTTGCAGACTTCTGATTCAACGAAGCGGTGTTTGTCTCTTAACCCAAGGATGCTGAACGCGACCTCAAGCTGCTCATCTCCGAGACCGAATCTCCCCAAAGCAGGCGGGGCCCAAGCCTACGGAGATAGAGTAGTAGCTGCGATCGAGGAAGTCCAATGCCAGCTCCTGCGACTCCGGAGGCAAAGGATTCAGGGCTGGCTTGCGGCTTGTGAAGCTACGAGGGAAAGAAACCGCAGGCCAGAAACGGTTGTAGTGGGCTCTTTTTTGCTTGCTGGCTCGTTTCTCAACTGCAGCTTTCGGCAGGTTCAGAGTGTCAAGTTTCGTAGTTCCAGACGCTCGGAAAACCCTAATGGGCTTTGAAGAAGCTCCCGACACCAAAGGGTATGAACCTTTCTCTTGCAGGGACAGGTGCTCTGCAATCTGCAACTTTCACTTTAGGGTTTAGGGTTTAGGGACCCTAGTATAAGAGTATGGCAGACAATAAGACTCTACTGCACAGCATGTTTTGTATATGTGCTGCGACGTGCTCCGTATCCCTCGCGAACAAGCTTAAACACACCTGGAACTTCCCGAGCCACCGAACGGACCAACTATGCTCCGAGACCGCAACACCCGAAACTTCTGGAAACCACGGGAAACCCCTCAAATCGGAACCCCGAGACATGAACCTGCAAGCTGAGCGAAGTTGCTCCTGGATCTCCCTGGGGAAGGTGGCAGAGAACATCCTCGGTGGTCGTGGATCGTTGCTCTTCCGTTGTGCCGGGCATGGCTGCATCACCAGACGACAGCATCAACGCCAGTGGCTATGAAGCGTCAGCATCATGTTGGGTATCATCATGGTGATATGTCGAGAACAGCATCAGCAGCAGCAGCTACCAGCACTACCAGTCGTACTATTGCTCCTCCGTCTCCACCACTGCCGATCGTAGTAAGTAGTGGCTCCTGCTAGTAGCAGCACTTGCTAATGAGTAGCGTGCAAAACAAGCAACACTCGAGGCACAACGACCGAAACTCCAGCAATATTTCCGAGCTCTGCCCTCGCAGCTTTTCGAATTGGTGCCGGGAAGCATTGTCTGACGGCCCTGGCCAGCTTTGGGCATGCCGTGATTCTCGATGATCTCACGGATCTGGGGCTCGAAGCCTCGTATGTCATGTGCCCAACATTTATCGAGAGCCGGAGTCTTCTAAAGCATCTTGGACGAAACACAACCAATATGTGCTAAGACGAAGATGTTCCTGCACGGGTACAGGCAAAGTGAGAGATTGCATCTCGACTTGAAACCGATGCCATCCGGCCAAATCGCTTGCACTGCAGCCCAGTGGCCCATATCCAGCATGCGGTCGGCTTCATCCAAGGCCAGGAACTTGACTTCCTCATGGAATCAGCATCGGCTCCATGAGCTACAGCAGCTACGGCAAGAGGCTGAGGGGTAATGCAACAATGGAATGCCGTGCGAACTCTTGCTACAAGGGAATACAGGCATCAAACCCAAGGAGAAATGAGGCTGGCAAAAAACCCATAGTCAGCCATTCTCATGCTTTGCAAGAGGACGTCATACACCCCGAGGCTTCAGCTGATGATTTAAAATTGTATTCAAACACGACGCCAGAGTTGCAGTCCCTAATTTCAAACTCTCATGATCAAATTCCATGCCGGCTCTTCGACGGCATGATGTGGGAGCCCCACCAATTTCCGTGCCCTACGTTTGGCTTTCCGAGCAAGCTTCACCCGCCTTTACGGCCTCGTTTAACACGATTAAAATCAACCCCGTTGTTTAAAAACTAACAGCCGTGTCCTCCATCGAGATCACGCCCCGCTGGAGAAAGTCCTTCTCCAAGTCTGCTACCCAGCTTCGGGTGTTCGGAGCTGGCTGTTGCGGTGTCTAGTTGTCCAAGGGTCCAAAATTGGGGTCACAGTGTATAGTGAATCCACATGCTACACCGTATCTGAACACTGACACTTCCCGCCTAGATGCGACAACACCAGCCAGTGACAAATCTTCAAGCCACAAGCCCTGAATCTGAGACCGAGAATCGGATTAGGGGCTAGGGCTCTGAGCCTCGTTGAAGCGATTGCTGCTGTTATCCCGGCCAGAGGCTCCTAGAACCTGGTTCCCTTTTGGGGCCATATTGAAAATGATCGTTTTCAAATCAAAAATGTAACATTGTATCCAACAAAGACCCAGAAACCCTTATAGGAGGAACACTTACAAGCAAGCCCCAAAACAAGGCCCGTCAGCTGCTTGAGGAAAATCCGGTTCGGGAGCTGGTGTCCTCCAGGCGGCCAGGGGTGCCTTGGAACAAGCAGAGTCATAAGGCCCCAAATTTTAGGGTTGAGGGTTTAGGGTTTTACATAAGGGCCTTGATCTTCAGACTATAGCTTCGGGAGATATTGCAGGATAGTTTTATAGGGACTCTGCGTAGGCGGACTGCTAGTACCAACCATGCAGATATCGTCAAAAAGGACATCACGTCGACAGTCTCAAGGTAATTAAGGTTCATCTGTTAATCCTGGGGAATTACCACATTCAACGGGCCTGGAGATCAACTACCCTGTAAGTCGCCTCTAGGTGTAGGGAGCCCCGGGTTCAGAGTAGACCGCAACATGCAACTGCAGCCCGAAACCCGTTTATCACAAAGCTGCGGCGCAGTTCTGATGTCCGGCTGCTGTTGCTGCTTTAGAAGAAGACGAAGCCACAGCAAACGCTAAAAGGCACATCTTCGGTATCCAGGGCCTGGGTTTGGAGAGGTTGGGAGCAGGGGTCCATAAGTCCTGGAAAACTTGTGAAGGAATAGCAAGCTCAGTAAGCCGTCATGCAGCCTCCAATAGTTGAATGCTCCACTCCGAAACCAGAACCAGCAGAACTGTCGCACGACAGCTATGTACATGATGAACCAGCAACCTTCACGAAGCACCCCCACAGCTCCACAGCCACTGGCAGCCTCACTCCAAAGCCTACAGCCCTTTCTGCTTCTCACCGGCTTCTTGCGGCAGTGCAGCACACGACGATCTCCACGCCTGCGGTCACCAAACCCTCGACACACAACATGAACAATGAGTGCGGTCAACTTATTTACATTTAAAACGCACTCTATGCAAGTGCAACCGATAACGGAGCATCAATTCGCAAAATTATTCTGAGGATGTTGAGATCCCAGTCTCTGCTAGTAGGTGCAGTAGCCCCGCGGGACCCGAATCATGCATCGCATGGACCGCTCAAACCCAAGCTCATCTTGCCTCCTGCGATGGTCCGCAACTGCGGGATGGCATCAGCGCCTGGGGAGTTGAAAAAGGACGGGAGCTTCGGGGAGACGGAGGTCAGATTTCTTGGGCCTCTTAGGGCTTAGGGCTTAGGGTCTCCTGTGCAGCTTGGGATCCCGGACCGCTTAGGAGGCGACGGTAGGGTGTATGTAGATATATATATATATATATATCCTCCGACAAAAAACAGCGCTGGAGTAGCACAGCTGTCGAACTGGAGACCCCTCCTGAAATCCCTCCTGCAAGCTCCCACTTGGAACCTCAACCTTGCCCTCAACAAGTTTCCTAAACACAGAACGCAAAGCCAAAACGAGAGGACGCTATGAAACCCAGCCTACCACAAACCCAGGCGATCAACTTCTGGATCTTTTATACGACTTATATGTCTCAGAAAAACGACAAAAAAAGCCGCTGAACGCACTATAATGCACTACAATCCACAAGCATGCAGCCGAAGCAGAGCATCTAAAACGCAAGTCGTGCGACCCCGTAGATGCATGCCCAAAAGGTGCCATGTTGCAACATGCAACCAAAACACCCAACCCCCTGCCTGACCCAAGAGCTTGCATCGCTTGTGGTAGATTGGCGAAATCTCTTGAAAGGCCCGGAATCGCCAGAGCAATGCTTGAAAAAAGCTTGAAAAAGCCCCCGGACTTCCAAAGATCCCAAGCCCCAAACTGCAAAGACACTTTAGGGGTTTGAGGGGTTTTAGCGGAGTTTAGGGGTTTAGGGGTTTAGGGTTTAGGACAACAACAACCGAAAGCCTCCGTAGATTGCGCAGACACGGGCACCAGACCGGAAAGTCAGCCTCCGCGATACAATGTCTCTAGCATGGTCCAGAGCCTTTGTGGTGTACCAGGTGTACCAGAAGTGCTAGCTACAGCAGTCGAAATCGTGCAGCAGTTTGGCAACAACCTTGGCAATTACCAGTATGATCAGCATCATGGGCACTATTGGCATCAGCATTATCAGCGCCACGGCTGCCAGCACCACCACCGCTGCCGCCACCACCACAACCAGCACCCGCAGCACTAGCAACAGCAAAGTCGCCAGCCGAAACTCGAAAGTTCCGACCCCCTACCTGCCCACCTCAAACCAGACCGAGCAACGCGACGGCAAGATCCATTGCGAGATCCCAACAACTTCGGTAACTTCGAACACGAAAACTGAGCTCAACAACAAACCAACCCCTCAGCTTTGTCACCAGAAAGTCTTATCCCAGTCCAGCCCTCAACCCTACAATCGTGCAGCGGCCACAAGCCCGAAGCCTCAAAGCCTCTGTCAGAAGCATTGAACTGCCCTGCACGCCAAAATGATCAACACCGGCAAAGTTCAGGCCCTGACCTTACCATTACCGCACAGCCGCACCATCGCCGAGCATCAGCACTGTCGCAGACATCACCATGATCACAGCAAAATGACCACAACGATCATACCTTACGTATCGTCTTCGCCATCCACAACATCTTCAAAATCAGTATTATCAGCGCCATACACCCACGTCATCGACGTCACGGTCTCCTTCGCCGTTTTCATCATGGCTATCAATCATCATCATCATCAACAACATCATCATCATCGTCATCGTCATCGTCATCATCATCATCATCATCATCAACGTCATCATCGGCAACATAACCAGCGCAGGGTACCCCTCAATTCAAAGCTCCTTCGAGCCCCAACCACAATGCCGGCACCTCAAAACTAGGGTAGGGGGCTTCAGGTGTCTCATACTACATTATAGTATTTTATTGTATATGTTATAGTATATGGTAGTAAATGTTATAGTATATGTTATAGCATATGTTTTAGTATATTATAGTATATGTTGTAGTATGGTAGTATATGTTACAGTACATTATAGTATATAGTACAGTAAGTACAGAGAAACAGCCCTGAGGACCCGAAGCCCTCAGACGTGTTGGCCTCTCGGCTTCCACTGTGATCTGCCTCGGACAGGTGGCGAATCATTGTGTATGTGTAAATGTATATGCGATATCAACCAGTGTGTATATATATATATGTGAGTGTATGTATATAATATATATATATATACAAATAGACACACAATGCATGCGTGCAATTATTCGTAGCAAGTCTGTCATACAGAACACATGAACTACAGTAGCTTCATATGTACATCTCATCTACAGAGCTTGTGAATGCAGGAGATGACGAGCTTGGAGATGCAGTCAGAGCAAGGCTCTAAGGTTTCCACCTGAGTTCGCAGGTTTGGGTGGACCTTCCACGGATGTTTCCATCGAATCCCAGAACCGTGCATTCTACTTCCCCTTCGGAACTGCCCCCAAAACTCGCCAAACCCGCATCTGAACCCCTACATCTCCCTGATGCCAGAAATCCCAACCTGACGCCTGAAAGAACAGCTGTGCCCAGCCGAAAAGAAGGTCATATTACTATCATTCTTCTTATTCTTATTCTTATTACTATCTTTGGTTACTGTTACTATTATTATTATTGTTATTGTTACTACTACGATTATATCAGAGAAACCCTGGAAGGTCGAAGTTAGGCCTCGGCGCCCGTGAATGATCTCTCCGTTGAGGCTTCGGTTCACCGGATCGGTTTAGGGTTTTGGGGTTTAGGGGTTTTTATCGCGGATAAGGAGCAGAACTTCAGGTTAAGGCTCTAGCCATGAAGCCTAGCGGCTGGCAGAGCTCACGCGTGGGGGACAGCACCACGCTGGTGGGGCACACGGCACCCTCCTGATGCAGGACTGTGGCAGGAGTCGGCTTGGAGTTCGGTGCTTGGGTCAGGTTCATGTTCTTCAGATGTTGACTGAATGTGGGACTGTGGTGCTCTGGTACTCGCAGGCCTCAAAACTCAACTTCGCCGCATATTGTACTTTCCGAAAGATCATGCTCATACCTGTCATCCTGCCTTGCATGACCTTGTTCCAGAGTAGCCCTTTTTATGGAACCATAGTCATCTCTTCCGCACAATAGAATCAATAGAACAAGCTCTGAATCCCTGTAACTTTTACAGTGACTGACTGTACAATCCTTTATAAACAGAACCCGGCCTTCATCGGCTTCCTGCCGGCATTCAATGCCGCGGTGATGATGGGCACCAAGAAAGCGGCGGTCTTGCCGCCTGAGCTGAAAATCAGGAGCTTCCCAAAACTGGGGGTCTCTGGGGGGATCCGTGTGTTTGGGGGGGGCGCCTGTTTAGCAATCTCGAAGTGTCGAGGGGGAAATGCGACTCTTGCATCCCACCCTGGGCCCGCACTCCCTAGGATTACCGTGACACCCGTGCTTCCACGGACCGGGATCCCGGCCGACCCACTGCAGAACACTAAACTATTGCGAAACCGTAGCCTTTACATTGAACTCAGAAGTCAATAAACACTGAAGTCCGTCCCACGGCAGATCATGTATCAACCCTGCCTTTAACCTGCATGCCACTGCATGCCCTAAATCCTGAAAGCCCAGAGCGCAAGACCCGAAAGTCTCAACCCTTGGAGTGAATCATACTACATCCCAGTGTCCGCCAGAAACGTGGAACAATGCTGAGTCGAAGCCGGGCACGCACTGAATCCCGGCCCCCGAGAACTACACAACCTCCCACCCAACATCCCACACCACAAGGCTTCGTCCAAAGGGCTCCCTGTCTGTGCCGTGACCAGCACGTCACTGCCCGACAGGACGGCCGGGATGCTGTGCCTCGGCAGTCTGCATGATGCCCAAACAAAGCGCAGTATGTCTGAGCTGGATCTCCATTTTGGGATCTTCGCGGTTAGGCATTGTAGTTCAGACTTCGGCTCTTGCAGCTCTGCCAAGTTTGGACATCTTCAGAAAACCCCAGAAGCTCCAAAGCTGTCGAGCTCCAGGTGGGTCTTGGCCAAGATCCAGGAATCTACTTCGCTTCATCAACTCTAGCACCCCGAAGTATACATGTGTGTATGCACATATATACAAATATACATATACATATACATATATTCCAAATCGCTTGTACAACAAGTAGGAGACTCGGAAACAGGTAAAGATGCGCCGTCATCACGGATGCATGCTTAAACGCTTATATACAGTGACTTGGGTAGACTGAATGCAGGAACTCCGGAACCATGGCTTGTCTTCGGTTGCTACAGCAGTTGCACAGCTCCAAACGGACAGGGAGGCTTAAGACTTTCGGGGAGGTGCAGATTTTCTAAGGCTGTGTGTTGCAGTGCTTTGGTCAATGAGAGTAGCTGGCAGATCGTGGGCTACAGCTGCCATGACGGTTATCTTGAGACCAACATGACTGCTTGTTTTTGGTTGCGGGCCTGTGAACTGTGTCCTTGGCCGGTGTCCCAGCGCCGAAGCTCCCCCAACGTGCAAAGTACTTATTGCTTGCTTGCTGCCGTGCCTTGTGTTACAGACTGCGCATGTCCTTCGGTAGCGGTCCAGTCATGCCACATGGAATGTTGAACAGAGTTTGCATGAAAGCAGATGTGCAGGTACGATTAAGTTGGTTAGCAGTTTCAAGGTGCAGCACGAGTGGCACTGCAACAGTTGCCGAGTGTGTTGAAGAGTCAGATGTACTAGTAAGTTGTATCTACATGCTACCTGTGCACTGCTGACGCGGCATACACCCGAAGATCTCAACCATCAATTTGTTGCCAGTCGAAGCGCTTCTGCACTGGCGTTGGAATGTTGTAATGGCACCGATCAATGTTCGCGGTCAGCGCTGGGGGCAGGTTGTGCTTCTCACAAGCCTGCTCGTCATCTCCATAGTTTCCCGAAGCCCTCAACACTACAGTCTGATCTTAACATAAAATCTTGTCTCAACAAATCTAAGAATCTAAGAACATACAACCTAAGGACTCCAAGAACAACTCCAAGCAAGTTCTGCATCCCTAACCAAGTCCATTATCCCTATCGTGTTCTGTACCGTAATAAACTGCTGTAAACGACGGTATTCCTGTACGAAAACCGAGGGACCTCAACGCCTAAACCCAATGTATCTCGAATCCACTGAGCGCTGAAGCATCCACGGTTCTACACCAAATTCTGGTCCTACACCCCAGCACGCTGGCGAAGTCCATGCCACAAACAGTTTCAGCAACATGGTAATTCTAGAGTCTTTATGCAGAGCGTGTATGCAGCTGCAATAATGACCCAGAAGCTGTTATGATCCCAAAACCCGTGTAAGCCTACATACCCGCCTTTCCTTCAGAAGGTCCTACCAGTTTCAGAACCGAAAACTTACTACAAGTAAACTTCGGGAAATACAGCACGAGGTCACGAGCCCTCAGAGGGAACCCCACCGTAAGTTCTGAACTGCTGCCCTGTAATCAACCCGCAAGAAACGCAAAAAACAATGAAACACCTGTACATTGTGCAGCTATATACCGCAGGTTAAGCCAAAACACAGCTACGGTTTGGGCACTTTGGGTCATCTATAAATTGGACAGGCCCAGGGCATCGGTGGGTTTACCTACAGAAAGGCTGGGTGTCGAGGGCTTTTCTGGGGGTTGAAAGGTCCAGGAGTGAGGATTGAAGACGACGGCGATCGCGGCATTTGTGAGTCGCTGCACGTCTTCCTGCACACTCAGTGCATGTCGTCCTGCAGAGAGCTGCACACTCGATAAGACGGAGTCCCTCTCACTCAGGTCTCCAGAGGGCTCGGTGCAGAGTGCTGAGGCTCATAATCAGAGTAGCCTCATCGGTGATAGAAGTAGCCACTCATCTGCGTGGTGATGCTCAGGCTGCAGAGGCATGCGATCTCAGACGACGAGCATGAGCTCCGAATCCAGCAGTCGCTCCACCAGTCTCTACCAAAAGCATCTACCTATAATCCCCCAGCCGTAGACTTACGCCGAACTTCACATCCGTGATCATCCAACCTGAAATCTTGCAAAGCCCTGAGAAGCCTTAGCCCCGAGGACCTCATTTTTCTAATACCAAGTCGGGACACCAAAAGAAAAGTCGAACCCCCAACCGATGAGATATCCTACAACCGCAGCCCTCATCCTTACATCCCAGGTTTCCTGAACATGTGCCCACAAGCCGGAGAGCCTGCATTTCGAAATCCAGGGATCCGAAAAAAAAAAAGAAGCTACCAATGCCTCCGAATCACGACTTCTGAACCCGAAAAATGGCCTCAATCTGAATAATCAGCCGCTACACCCTGGCCCAAAATCCCTCGCCAATATGCCAGTTCTAGCATCTTTCGAAAGGGACTGTAGGGACGGCCAGTACCCAAACCACGATTCCTGGGGCTACCTAGGGAAAAAGGGTTAGGGAATTTAGGGTTGCCAGTTGCAGCCCACCCTAAACCACAATTCCTGGGGCTAGCTAGGGAAAAGGGGTTAGGGAATTTAGGGTTGAAGCCCACGGAAATGCGTTAGGGAATTTAGGGTTGAAGCCCACCCCAAACCACAATTCCTGGGGCTACCTAGGGAAAAGGGGTTAGGGAATGTAGGGTTGAAGCCCACCTAAACCACAATTCCTGAGGCTACCTAGGGAAATGGGTTAGGGAATTTAGGGTTGAAGCCCACCCCAAACCACAATTCCTGGGACTACCTAAGGAAATGGGTTAGGGAATTTAGGGTTGAAGCCCATCCTAAACCACAATTCATGGGGCTACCTAGGGAAATGGGTTAGGGAATTTAGGGTTCAAACCCAGCCCAAACCACAATTCCTGGGCCTACCTAGGGACAAGGGGTTCGGGAATTTAGGGTTGAAGCCCATCGTAAACCACAATTCCTGGGGCTACCTAGAGAAAAGGGGTTAGGGAATGTAGGGTTGAAGCCCACCCCAAACCACAATTCCTGCGGCTACCTAGGGAAAAGGGGTTAGGGAATTTAGGGCCAAAGCCCACCCCAAACCACAATTCCTGGGGCTACCAGGGAAAAGGGGCTAGGGCATTGAAAGGGTTGAAGCCCACCCCAAACCGCAGTTCCTGAGGGGGCTACCTAAAGAAAAGGGGTTTAGGAATTTAGGGTTCAAACCCACCCTAAACCACACTTCCTGGGGCTACCTAGGGAAATGGGTTAGGAAATGGGTTAGGGAATTTAGGGTTGAAGCCCATCCTAAACCACAATTCCTGGGGCTACCTAGGGAACAGGGGTTAGGGAATTTAGGGTTGAAGCCCACCCCAAACCACAATTCCTGGGGCTACCTAGGGAAAAGTTGTTAGGGAATTTAGGGTTGAAGCCCATCCTAAACCACAATTCCTGGGGCTACCTGGGGAAAAGGGGTTAGGGAATGTAGGGTTGAAGTTGAAGCCCACCCCAAACCACAATTCCTGGGGCTACCAGGGAAAAGGGGCTAGGGCATTGAAAGGGTTGAAGCCCACCCCAAACCGCAGCTCCTGAGGGGGCTACCTAAAGAAAAGGGGTTTAGGAATTTAGGGTTCAAACCCACCCTAAACCACACTTCCTGGGGCTACCTAGAGAATGGGGTTAGGGAATTTAGGGTTGAAGCCCATCCTAAACCACGATTCCTGGGGCTACCTAGGGAAAAGGGGTTAGGGAATTTAGGGTTGAAGCCCACCCTAAACCACAATTCCTGGGGCTGCCCAGGGAAAAAGGGCCAGGGAATTTGGGGTTGAAGCCCACCCCAAACAACAATTCCTGGGGCCACCTAGGAAAAAGGGGCTAGGGAATTTAGGGTTGAAGCCCAAACCACAATTTCTGGGGCTACGTAGGGAAAAGGGGTTAGGGAATTTAGGGTTGCCAGTTGCAGCCCAGCACAAACCACAATTCCTGGGGCTACCTAGGGAAAAGGGGTTAGGGAATGCAGGGTTGAAGCCCACCCCAAACCACAATTCCTGGGGCTACCTAGGGACAAGGGGTTAGGGAATGTAGGGTTGAAGCCCACCCCAAACCACAATTCCTGGGGCCACCCAGGGAAAGGGGTTAGGGAATTTAGGG